CCATACTCGATGTTTTACTTGTGAGGAGAAGGGACACTTCTTTTGCTTGCCCACAAAGAAGGGTGAACTTAGCAGAATTTAGGGAAGAATTAAAACCTATTTATGATAAATATGATGAGAAAATATAGGAAATTGATGTGTATCCTGCACAAAGTGTGTCATTAGTGGTACAAAGAGTGATGACAACAATAGTAAATGAGGAAGAAAAAGATTGGAGGAGGCAAAGTAAAGACACAAAGTACCAGTAACTACTCAATACTATAGGAGGTAACTTGGATGATGAAGCTTTATGCGATGTTGTGCCAATGGATGTTGGTCATATTCTTGTTGATAGCCCTTGGTTGTATGATCATGATATGGATCATAAGATGAAGCCAAATACCTATTCCTTTTACAAGGACAACAAGAGGTATACTTTATATCCTCTAAAAGAAGAGACTAAGCAATTGGCAACTTCAAGCCCCACAAGCCGCAAAATTGCTGGGTATTTATCTGCTGAAAATTTTAAAGCTGAAAGTAGTAACGAAGAGAAGTTGAAACAAGTGAATACAGACATCTATGAGAAGTATATTAAGGCCTATTCGTTTAGTTTTTTTTTTCTAACCCAAAGGGGACTGATGCAGACGCATCAAGAATTCTATTTTATTTAATATTTTCATTAGCTTAGGATTTTATTTTCATTATTTTATTTCGTTTGAGATTTTTTTTCCTATTTTTATTAAAACTTTAGTACTTTAAGTCTTTATTTAGGATTAGGATTACTATTTGATTATAGGATTATTATTATCATCTTTTATTATTTTTGAATATTTATTCAAGAAGTTTATTTTAAAACCCAATTATTTCTTCCCGTTAGGAATTATTGGCGGATAATTATGACAACCACAAATTTATATGTAAATGCATCAGGTTAACTTGTATGAACGTCTTTTCCTTCTTGCGTACTATAGTAGCATTATTGTCCAAGTACATTATGGGTGGTTCCTGTTATACTTGTGTTACAAATAAGTACTTCAGTCTCTCAGAGACCAATGTCTGTTCACGTGAGAGCCAGAGAAAGGAATTCTCCAGTTTCAGAAATGAGAAAAGGAAGGACAAGACTCATAGAAACAACCAATGAACAATAGCATTAGAAATGTATACTACCCTTCCAACAAACTACAAAGTTGCATTTTTTTCTTATGGAAGTACAAAAAGACTAGTACTCCCTCATAAGTTTCACTGAAGAAAATTTGTAAATTAACAAAACAAACCATATAAGACCAAAAACACCACGGCCAAGGAGTAAACTACATAGACAATGGATCAACAAACAAATATCCCCACCTGACACTATTACAGTGTCTCTACACCAACACCACCATATATTCAAGCTTATCTTCTTCCTGTACAGTAACACATATAGATCCACATAAAATGATAAAAATGATAAAAGTACAAAATAGACGAATTCCTCATCGATATCTGAGACTTCCATTTACAATTCCAACACAAAGAACAAAATATCCAACCTACAGTATACACATACTCTCTTCCATACCCCAATAATTTAAAACCCTTTTCATTCCCATCAAACTTACTGACTTTTATTAAAACGAAAAACAAAAATCAGAAGAAAGAACAAACTTCCTACTCTCAAGGATCTAAACAAGCACAGGCGTAAAAGGTAAAAACTCGTCATTTTTCTCAAAGTTCAAAACTTTGTCCCTTTTCCCACACTAAAGGCTATAATTTTACAACCACAACATGATTTATACATAAAAACAATTACAAAACAAGTGTTACAAAGAGTGAAAAAAAGAGAAAGAAGGTACCTTGAGCTAGCATACTGAAAGAGCTTGCCAGTAGATGAGAAAATGACGAGAGCTACATCTGCATCACAGAGAATAGAGAGCTCCTCAGCTTTCTTAAACAACCCTCTTCTCCTTTTGGAAAAAGTCACCTGCCTAGCTGTAGCGTTAGCAATTTTCTTGATCTGAATCTTCTCTCTTGCCATTTTTTTTCGTTAACTTCTTCTTGTTCTTCTGTTCTCGACCTTGTTTCTTCCTAAATAAAACTACCAAAAAAAAAAGTTGTCTTCCGTTTTTTAGAGCACTTTCTCCAGTCAAACTTCCATTTAGAGAATGAACCAACATGTAATCAAGTAAAACTGGAAACCCCAACAACAGAAAACAAAGAAAAGTTTCTATAAATAGCGTTAGTAATAATTAAAAAGAAAAAAAGGAAAGGTAAAAAGGGTCAAGTCTGGGTTAAAATGGCGGCATTTTGCCAAATTTAGCGTCAAGTGTTCCGAGACAAAACCCTAAAAGGAAGAGAAGAAATGAAGTGAAAAGGACCCAACTTGAGTTGAGATCGAAAACAAAGAAACCATGAAAAAAAAAGGGCAAAAAACCCAAATTGAGTCTTTGAAAGTGGCAAAAGGAAGCCGGAAGAAGAAGAGTGAAAAATGATTGGTTAGGAAGGTATATTAATTTATTTCATATTTACTTACCAGTTTTGGTGGGTTTTTGCGTGCTGGGTTGGAGCCAGAGGTTGTTTTTTTGTTTCCGAGCTTGTTAAAAAGCCACCAATGTGGCTTTGGCCTTTGTGGTCGTCCAAGAAAGTGTGAAAAGAAAAGACCTTTGCTTTGGTCAGGGAAAAAGGAGGACCCTTTTTAGTGAAGCAGGGAGCTTTTTCTTTCTCCTTCCTCGTCTTTTTAGCTTGACTTGCTGAAAATGGGACTGAAGGGACCGGATTTGAGTAGCAACTTTGAACAGATGGGGCACAACTCACATATCATAAAATTTTAGGGCTTTATTTATAAATTTATGAAAATAGTAGTATTCTTATTTTTCTTTTTCTTTTTTCTATTCTTCATTTATAATAGTACATTTTCATCAAATTTATTTTGGTTAATATTTTTGCAAATCACAAAAGAGAAAACCTTTAAAATACTAATGGCAATCACTCTCCATAAATTTTTTTGACTTTTAATTAAACATAGATACTAATGTTTTGAGATGACAATTTCTTGATTAGTTTATATATTGATTCTTTTTTTTTTTGAAAGGTGGTTAGTTAATATATTGATTAACATCAATTGTTTTGTTAAGATTGAAACACAAAACATTCAAATAAAAAATAAAAAATTAAAAGAGAACAAATTTTAAATATTGCAAAATTTTCATATTTTGTCTTTTCTATTTCCTTTTTTTTCCTTCTTTTTCACTATTTTACCTTCCTTCCTCCTTGATTTGAAATGACATCCGTTAATCTTAAAGTACTATTATAAAATTTAATGCATCTCCCTTATCCGAGCCTGATTAACAATGTCGTATTAAAATTTGAACCCATTTATTTAGTTAAAAATGTTGAGAGTGCTCGTTACAAAATCTCACTCAAACCAAATTTAATAATAAAAAATAAAGTTTAAACATTTTTAATGTATTTTATTAATCAAAATTTGAGTTAATAAATTCAAGAGTAAATTATATATTTAAAAAAGATTTATATTTGATGCACTTTCAGTTCATCAAAATGTGTTACTTCATTAATAAGGTAAAATAAAAAATTTAAAAGACTTAAAATTAAATTTCAAAAAATTTGTAATAACTAATTAAACAAAAAAAATATTTTCACTTTTTTATCTCTCTCAACTGTTCTTTTTCCTTTTATCCTTCTCTCTTCAACTCCATCATCTTCTTTTTCCATGAAAATTGAATTTTGTAAAATTTTGCAACTTCAAGAGCAATTTTTAGATTTTTTTTTTATTCTTTTAAAAACCTAAGAGGGATTGAGAAAATATACTTTTCAAAAAATAAGATCGAGGAAAAAAGATTCAAATAAATAAATCTTATTAACAGAATTTTATTAAGTTAACAATTTTGCTTCTCAATAACAAGATTAAGCCAAAAAATTTTCTTCTCTTAAAGCCAATCCCACCTCTCTTTGTCATTGTGTTGCAAAGGGAAATTCATTTTCACTCAAATAAGTTAATTTTGAAACCCTTGTAAAATGGTTAGTAACATCCCATCTAAAAATGACTGATCTTTGTTTAAAATCTTAAAAATATGAAATTTAGTTAAAAATTAAAATGGTTATGTAACATATCCTGAACAATGATTTTGGTTCGAATACCAAAAAGCATATGATTTGGTTTAACATTTTAAATTTAAATTTATTAACATTTTAGATTTTAGTAAAATGGTTAAGTAACATCTCAAATGAATTTTGGTTTTCATAGGAATTTAGAGTTTTATGACTGCATTAAATGAAAAAAAAAAAAACCTAATGCCTATCAAAAAAGAACAATAACAATTTTGACTTAATCTTGATATTTAAAAGCGAAAATGTTGACTTATTTTTACAAAACTTATTTTTAATGAAAGATGAAAATGATAAAGTTAGAGAGACAGAGAAAAAAAAAAAAGAAAAAACGATTGAGATAGAAAAGTGAAAATATTTTATTTATTGTATAATTAATCATTATAAATTTTTTAATATTTAATTTTAAGTACAAAAAATTTTATTTTATATCATTAATAAGTTGACATAATTAATCATTATAGAAATATACTCTATCAGTGTATCAAACATAAATTCATACATTATCAGGGCATGTGCCACCTCAATAAAAAATAAATTGAAAACTTTAAGAGAGTTAAAAATAAATATTAATTTTTAAAAACTAAATATATTTTTTTCTCTCTTTCCAACTCCATCTCAACCAGTCTCTTGTTCTTTTCATGTTTTTGTTCTTCTTTACCATAAGTTCAAAACTCTAAATTCTTAATTTTGATTCTTAAAGATAATATATATTTCAATATTCTTCTTAGTTTACCGTATTTTATATATTGTGATTGTTTATTTTTCATTTTATTTGATTAACAAAAGAGATTTTTCCAACATCTTTGAAAATCACACAGTGAATACATCATTATAAAGTTTTAACATGATAATGCGGGACTCATGTTGTAAAGAATAAAAATGGATTTTTGTTTAAGACTATTTTTTTATTCATCTGTTCATAGATCTAAAAGGAGGTTGTGCTTGATTGATTTTTGTTTCATCCTATTTAATCTATAAAGAACTTGGAATATGTAGACTTACTGGGTACTAAAAAAAGTTTGGAGTTCTAGATTTTTTGTGAGCTGCACGTTGCTATGCAGGTTGGGACCTGTTGCATTAAGGCAATTATATTTCTTTTAGGGTTGATGTTTTGCTTTTCACCTTTTCCAATTGCTTTATTTATTTCATTCAACTGGCAACTGAACCATTGCTGAACAAATCAAAGATTTTGCCTCATTATCTATTATCACTTTTTTAAAGTAATTTCAAATAAAAGAGTGCAATAAATATTAAGAATTAAATTAAGAAGAAGAGTAATATAAATATTATTTTGAATAATCAAAATTAAGAATTTAGGATTTTATTTTTAAAAAAAATTAAGATTTTGAATCTATAGTGGTTGGGGGAAGAAGAGGAAGAGATTGAATAAGGGAGAGTTAGAGATATGAAAATTTGTTTTTTTTAAGTTTTTTAAAAAATTAATACTATTTATATTAAGTCCTTTAAAATTTTGAATTTATTTAAAATTTTTAATAATATTTATTTTTAAATCCCTTAAAGTTTGAATTTATTTTTTAATGAGGTGTAATGATTTTATGCCCTTACAAACCGTGTATAGAAATTTTACACTGTCAAGTGTATCAAATATAAACCCTTAAAAAAATTTTCAATTATAAACAATACAAATACTAAAAATAATATAAAAATTACAAAATCATTATCTATAATCGAATAACAAATATCTTAAGTTTACTACTCATATCTTACGCAAATCTATTTATAACATAGCATAATCGTATTTAAATAGATTGAATAAGGCTAAATACCCATTTACATATTAATTATTATCATTCTTCTTAATGTGGTCATAAAACAAGTCTAGAGACATGTGAGACTGAGAGCATGGACGCCAATCGTCGTTACTTATTATTATGGATATCCAATTAAATTAATTAAGAATTCATTTATTTAATACCTTTTTTATAAAAATTAAAATGCAAATAGCAAAAAATTCTACCAAACAAATTTAAGTCTAGATGTAGTGGCGTCAAGTTTGAGCTACAAAAATATTGCCGGCCTAGGTTTGGGTAGTAGCTTTATAGTGCCTTACCTAAACTCAGTACGTAATACGAGGAAACAATTAACTTAAGCTTTAAAATTCCCGCTACATCTACCCAATTAATTAATTCAAGTTTTTTAGTCATGCATTAAACCCAATTAGGCATAACCTAGTTCCACATTTGCTCATGCTTTGTTAAAAGAGAATTGAATAATTAAATGCAATTAGATTTGACAAATTGATTAGTCACACGGAAAGTTAGAGTTAGGTCAAATTCAAGTCGTTTCAATTTTTTTTAATTTAAATTATTTTAGGTTTAAGCCATTTGGATTTAAATTGTTGATTTTTAAAATAAAACCAATTTAAATTGTTTGAAATACAAGATATTGCAAATAATTTCAAATTTAAATTATTAACTTTTGTCATGAGATTAAATTAATTCAGATTCGAGTTAATTTTTTGAACGTGATCCACTTTACCAAATATATAAAATTTAATTAATCACTTTATAAAGAATGTGCACCGAGGAATGATCTCGTACATAACATTACTTAAATGCAATGTGATTGTGTGCTATACTATTATTGGACTAGAATTTATTGCGTAGAAATTGAAAGCTACAATAAAACTAAACCAAGATATCTTAAAACCAGAAAATAAGGGACCTGATGACGCCCATCAGAACAATAAACTGTGGGGAAAGGGAAAGAACAGAGAGAGTAAATGAATTCATAATCAATGCAAAGATGGCCCTGGACAACTACCAACCATTAATCCTTTGCATTAAACTCATTAATTGATACTCGTAATTTGGCATTAATGTAAGGTACCGTAGCAACTACAAATTTTAATTTAATTATAATTTTTAATTAATATTAAACTTGTTAAACTTTTTGAAATTTTGAATGTATGACCTACTTATTTATTGAAATATGTCAATATATTGATTTTGGTTTTCAATTTTGAGTTTTCATTTTATCATTTTTTAAATAAAAACTTTTCAAATATTAATATAGTATTCGAGCATTTAGCTCTTTTTCCAAAAAAAAAGTTGAGTTCGATTTTTTTTAAAATAAAAAGAAAAAAACTCTCCAAATATTGAAACAGTTACTGAATATTATTGTTGATAAGCTGGCCAAACCCTATATCGAACTGCTTACCCGAGCTTCAATTACAATGTTTTGAGGCTTGAGAGTAAGGATATCGGGTTAGTATTGATACTTTGCATAGGGATGATAATAGGGTACCTATATATACTTAATTTGGTTATATAAAATTAAAATACCCTATAATCAAATTGAAAACAAGTACGAATAGTGATTTCATTACTTGTATTGAATTCGAGTAGAGTTTAGACACCACTATTAGATACCCACTATCTAAACCCAATTATCATTTATAAATATTTTAATATTATTTTGATAATTAAATTAAAAATATATAATTTTTACAAACTTCATAAGCAATTTATTTTGTTAAAAACTAACAAATATATGAAAAATATAGTTATTTTACTTATTAATGTGATTACATTAATATATTTAAATTAAAAAATTATTAGATTATTAATTATGTTTAAATTATATGAATATCATATCATATTATAGAAGAATATAATTA